TCTCTCTCTCTCTCTCTCTCTCTCTCTCTCTCTCTCTCCCGCGCGACTGAGGCGCTGATCCGACAGTACTTCAAACCTAAGAGAACCTAAAAGAACCCGGAAAGTCGGGGCCGGACCGTTAGGGTCGTGATACAAAAACGGGACCCGACAGTGCCGTCGAAAAAGGAGCTCTCACGACAGTACCGCCGCTTTTATGTGGGCGCCTGCGGTACCAAAACCGCATATTCCCCAAAATCCCCAAAAAATGGGGTCGAGGGGTAGTCACACTGGGTACCTGCCGTTGGTCATGGACATGAAAAAAAAAGAAAAAAAAAAAGGAAAACTTCGCCATCTTTTTAGCTGCAGAGACCGTGGTCAGCTCTCTTGCAAATAGAGACAATTTCTTGCGGAATGGAATCCGCGCGAACTGCCATGACACCCGACCTCCGAAACGACCTCCGACGGGCCGCCACTCCCTGGGACTGCGGAAAGTAGTGGGATCCCATGAAAATGCAAAAAGTACTTGACGTAAGTACTGTCGGATCAGAAGCTTAAACTTTTTGTCCGTTAGTTTTTTTTTTTCGTTTGTGTATTTGTTTTTTTTTTCCCCTTCTGTCTTTTTTTTTGTTTTCTCAAGTGTGTCGTTCCTAGTGAAGCCGAGCCCGGCCTTCCCTTGAACGACCCCCCTAGGGCTGCGGCGCATATATGGGAGTGCCCGCGGCCCATAGCTGAGCGAGGTACTGGTGGTTTAAACATGCAGTTTGTGAAAAGTGGAGTACTAAGATGAATGTCCATTACCCTAACTTTTTGCAGAGGCTCATTTGAATTTTTCACATGTACTTGTGATTTAATGAACTTACTTTTCTTGCATTTGCCGATGCCAAAAAGACTCTTCCATATACTTGTGCATATAAGGACTTCTCACAAAACAGTTATTCCCGTACATTAAAAGCTCCGAGCCTTGAAATACTGGCAATAACATGTTTATGCTTTTCTGCGTTGCATCTATTCCATGGTTGCCCCGGACCGGGACATTCAGACACCGGACATCGGGCCCGGACCTGTGTCTGGATTAATCCGGATGTCCGGTCATCTGGACACCGATGCAGACAGCCGGACATACAGACCCGGATGGTCCGGTTATGAATGAACAGGTCTGGATGTCCGGATATTAATAAATAAATACTTAATTAATATAAAAAAACAGACACACGCTGCTGTAGTATAATCTGACTTATCTTGAACACACACACACACACACACACACACACACACACACACACACACACACAACACACACACACACACACACACACACACACACACACANCACACACACACACACACACACACACAACACACACACACACACACACACACACACACACACACACACACACACACAGAGACAGATCCGGACATCCAGACCGGGCCGTCTGGATCTCGATCCGGACGTCCGGTTGATACCGTGATTTATTCCATTTTGTGCAGGGAAAAGCCATTTTTCGCTGACATTTTTGTGACTGTTGCCAATGCATGTCTTGTGTGAACCCTTTGAAAACTAATTCTGCATAAATTACCCGTAATGTTTTTGAAGCAGGTCCAGTTTTCACAACTTGTCCACTTTTGACAAATTGCGTGTTTTTAACAAAATGGCTGCTTAGGCATTGTTCTGAGGCATTGCTTCTCCTGCTAATGGCCCAATCAACAAGACCCACGTTAACTAGATGTGGCTATGTTGGATGATGGTATAGGAAGATTGCAGGTCGCCAGCGTGCGCAAGCACGCCGACGTGCGAATTATATGTTCGGGGCGCTCAAGGGTTCCTATCACAACAGCTCCAACCCATGGGACTGAAACTCCATCCTAATGAAACTTGTGGACACTCATCGTCACCCTGCATACTTAACCAAATCGAGCCTGGACTCCAATAAAGAATAACAATATTCATGATGGGCAACCAACCAGCCAAAAATAAAAGAGCACAAGTAACAGCCCGGGCAGCCCCTACATCAGCTGAATGGTCTGGCTATTGCAGGGTGGTCTGGCTATTAAATCGCAAGTACACGCCGCCAGCCTTGCAGAAAGTTTTTGTCTCCACAAGCAAAACTCAGAGGGGCCGTGCGACGTGGGGCGCCATTAAAAAAAAGGAACGGCGGCCTCCGGAGTGGTGCGGGTTTCATGCTGACACCCGCGGGCCGATGTGTGGTGTACTGGTGCTTTAAGGTACTAACACCAGGACTTGCATTAGCTGGATGATTGGGATATTGGAGGATGGTCTGGCTTATTTGTTGGCTCCTGCTAATCTTGGCATTGCACTTTTACTGAGTCTCCTCCCTTTTTTTCTTTTTTTTTTGTCTTTTTCTTTTGATGGTTTGCTTGTTGATTTGTTGCCAGGGTCAATTGGTCTACCCAAGCTGGCTGCACCAGATCCGGTGATCGAGGATCTGACAAATGATGATGAAGCAATTACTGAAAAGCCGCTGAAACTGAGGACAAAGGGTAGAAAGAGCTTGCAGGATCGGATAGAGTGCTCGATTCTCTGAGTTCATCGAATGTGTCCTACTATCCGTGCATGCATCTGTCTGTGCGCACGTGCATGGCCGCGGCCCTCATTTACTAGTAGTTGGTCTCTTTGTACCACACTAGTGTCATCCCCTCGAGGAATCAAACTCACGATCTCGGCCCGCACTCCTTTAGAAAGTGATACGTTCGCTCTGTTTGCAGCTCAACACAGCACTCAGTCTGGCCTTTGCTGCTTTCCAAAAAGGCTGATGATGTCATGATGATGATGGACTAATGTGGTGGGCATCACCTGAAAACTTCAGAATGTTCCCAGAAAGTTCTTCTTTCCTTGACGTAGGTATGCGTGGCACAACTCCGTGTGGTTTCAGGTTGATGTCAGCAAAAATAATGAATGCGCCCCGCTTCTCTCCTTTCGGACTGAAGCGCACTCGCTGTCTCTCCGTCTTTCTTGTTGACGTCAACGTGCCAAGGCTAACCGAATCTGATGTGCTTTACTGTTGTTGTTGTTGTTGACGTCATCATTAAGCAAAAAAGAGAGAAAAGTTTGCTTCAAAATCCTGCGAATGGATTGAATCAGTCAACATGAGTTGCGTTCTTTTATAAAATTTGCTCAATTATTATGTTTCATGTGACGACTTCCTCGCTCCATGGAAACAATCCAGTAGTAGCAGGATTTTGCAGCAGATTTTCAGTTCTTCTTTTTGGAGCAAGGAATGTTCTTCTTCTTTGCTCCGTCAGGGTTGCATGTCAAGACTCCCAGTGCTCCCATCAGCCGAGCTCATAAGTCGGGACACGTTGATGTCAACAAGAAATCCCATTAGCGAACTAAAATTTTGTCTTCTGCTTCAGAATCTATCCTCTAGGGAGACTGCGACATGCTACTGTCTTCACCTAGTAAATAGAACACCCGATACTTATGGCCGTATCTGGACTGGAAGGTGCACCAAATACAGCTATAATGACCGCGCGTTCTAGTTGGGTGAAGACTATAGCTTCCTCGGCATTCTTGTTGACGCCAACACCGTTCGCCGGCCTCCTGCCTCATCATGTTACCGTCTTCCCCCGAACGTGACGCATATTATGTGTTGCGAACAAATACTAGGTTGCTTTCTATTCGATTACAACAAATAGCGTTGTAAACGAATACGACGTATAGGCTTCTTTCTTTCTTTTTCTTTTTCTTTTTTGTTTTCTTTTTTCTAAACAGAGGCTCTCGATTCTGGCTCCTGCCGTTCTGGGGAGCAACAGTCCGGTTCCTACTCCCCCGGCAAGTCAAATATGAATACAATGAAAACACACACACACTCCTCCCCATTCTGGCTGAGAGGCCCGAGTGGATGGCATTGATCACTCCCCTAGGGAAGGATGTACCAACCCTCACCCCAGGCCTGCCTAAGTTAGCCTAATATGTCCTCTACCTTCTGATCCTCTGAGTCGCTTGGCTCCTAGCTCCTCTCAGCTGAGTGCTGTCTTTTTTCTTTTTGGCTCTTCGATGGAACGAAGGGCCGTCAAAAATCATTTTAAGCTTCTTAGTGTGCTCAGCCCACGGTATTCTTTAGTAAAAGGCGAAAGAATAGTACGCCACTTAAGCTGGACACTGGCTGAGTGCTGTCTATTTGAATAAGTCGTCGATTTCTTTTTCTGAAACCTCGAATACAATGCATAATATGCGTTATGTTTCGGGGGAAGAGGGTAGGTTTCTCTGGGTTCTTGTTGATGCCAAGTTGCCAACACCGTTAGTGGGGCTATCGATTAGCCTGGTACAATTTCGTTGACATCAACAAGAGTATGGCATTCGCACATAGGGTAACTAAGGAGGATCAGTAAGGAGCTCAAAGTTTCTTGTTGACATCAACACCGTGCCATCTTTCTGCCGGCAGCCGGAGGGGTACAGAGCCGGCAAGAAGTTGACATTGAGAGTAGTACGTGCGGAGAGGAGAAAGGTGGAGACTCTGGAGCGGGTTCACACAAACTTAAGGTGAATGCTGGTGCTGTGGCTTCGGAAGTAGTATGTGAGGCACACGTCCAATGAAACAGGATATTACACAGTTGGTGGGAGGATAGACATGATTGCAGTGTATGAACATTTGTCTGTGTCGAGGCAAGTTGTGTAGAGAGGAGACTATGTCCATCTCATCTGTTCGATGACTGCAGCGTATGAACATTCATCATATCGACAAGTTCCAGTCCATGCATGCACACATGCATAGGCGAACAGGATCATGGTGGGAGGTGGGAGGATAGACATTGCAGCAAGGAGCAGAGGACAAGCCTGCGAGTAGTAGAGTAACCCCCGAGCGCAAGTTGGTTCGCTAAATTATTGGTAATATCCAGCCAAAGGTCACAAAGAGGCGCATAGCGCCATAGTCACGGATGGCTGTTTTCTCAACTGTAAAGTTTAAACTTGTGTATAAAGTTGTGAACTTGTGATTGATGATTGAGGCTTTATGATTATGATTTCACGACAGGTGACTTGGGCAAACGTGACTTACGCGTCTTGCTCAGAAGTGTGCACAAAGGAGAAGATATCAATGTCATCTGTCAGATGCCATTGGATGCTTTTTAAACTTTCAAGTGCTACTGGTGGACATGATGATGATTGCATTGCAGACGAAACGTGGGTTAAGCCTTTAAGGTGCTTGCTCAGAAGTGTGCAGAGACGAGAATACATCAAACTGAATCTCGTCTGTCGCATGGGTGCTTTTTAAACTTTGGAGTTCAACTTGTGGATAGACTTGTGGACGATGATTTCAACATGACGAACCGATGATGGTTTTGGCATCTTTTCGCCGCAAGCGAGTACAGCTCTCTCTGAGTAATGGAAGTCGCAAGCTCGTGGTCCGTGGCAGTACTGGCTGAGAAGTATGAATTGCTCATTGATGGAGAGGAAAACCAGTCTGAGAATGAATGGTCAGTATCGACCCCGAACCGCTCTCAGGTAGGTGGAATGCATTTCAAATTTTCAATCGATCGTGATTGTGCGGAATTTGTGCCAGGCAATCCTCCATGTTAGACTCTACCTTGAATTTGGCAATGCCTTCCACAGAGAGTCTAACAATGATAAGAGAGGGTCACGCACGGTGGAAAACCGGAATGAGCGGTCATTATCGACCCCGAACTGCTCTCAGGTAGGTGGAATGCCTTCTGGCCCTGAGTCTGAGGCAGCTGACAAGGATAAGAGAGGGTCACACACCGTTGTCTACCCCTCCTGCCTCAGCCACCGGTCCCAGCCAGAAAGAGAGAGAGAGAGAGAGAGAAGGGGGGGGGGGAGAGAGAGAGAGAGACAGAGAGAGAGACACACACACACACACAC